ACTGCACTCAGCACCGCACTCGTCTCTACACTGGTCGCATTCTATGGTGAGTGATACGAGAGAAGTCAGTCAGGTCAGAGAGGGGCGGAGGCGGTGGAGGTGGAGGTGAGGGTGAGGTGAGGTGAGTGTGCGGAATTAAAAAAAAGCCTTATTTGTATATGCCCATATACTTTTCCAGAGTATGTTCTACATTTATGATAAATGTCATCGAGATCCGTTAAGCCGTTCTGGAGATACAAACAAACATTTTTCTTCTGTTAGGAAGAAAATCCGACACTGTGCCGGTGTACTGGAGTAACACTAGCCTTATTTTTAAAATATCAACGTTTATGTCCCCTCACTATTTATTTTGACACTTGACTCGGTTATGAAAGCGCGCCATTCGTGCCGAAGGATTTTAACTAATAATGTCTAAAAATGCAAACATTCATAATATACTAAGATAAGAGGAAATATATTGTTAAACGAATTGGGAAAGGCCTATGTCCAGCAGTGGGCAGACAAATGATGATGATGACAAATTCACCAAAACATGATATAAAAACACGTGACACTATCTGTAGTTAGTAAATTTGATACCAGGTGTGTGGTGCCTGGTGACGATGTTGGTGGTGAACCGCGCCGGTGCGGGCGTGCTGGCGGGGGAGCTGGGTCCAGTGTGCGCGCTGGTTTGCGGCGCCGCGCTGCTGCTGGCCACACTCTACTGTATCTCGCGACAACCTGTCTCGGAGAAGAAGCTGGCTTTCTCAGTCAGTATAATTGCTTTATAAAATAACTAGCGGTCGCTCGCGACTTCACCCGCGAGGAATTAAGTTTTTTTATGAGTAGCCTATGTGTTCCTTCAGACTATGTTCTACATCTATGACAGAATACAGTGATATCCGTTATCTGGAGAAACTTTCAAACAAACATTAATCCAGCAATTCAGCTACAAATTCGCATTTACTATATTAGTAAGAAGTCACATTTTGAAGCGTCAATAGCCTAGTGGCTTAGGGTGCGGATTCCCAATCACGAGGTCGGGGGTTCGAATCCCGCCATTGGACTATTGTCGTAAACCATATCCTAGCACAAGCCTAGAGCTTAGTTGGAAACTGCTAATATTTATTATAAAAAAAAAAACATTACTTGGGTATAGTGTCTCTTACCAACACTGAAAGAATTTTTAAATCGATTCACTCGTTTCGAAGTCTTTTTAATTCAAATAATCATATCCTTATTATAATATTAGTATTGATTAAAACAAATGTCACTTGTACCATTATTAAGAAAGTTAATTTAAAAAAAAATGTTTTGACCTAAAATATGCTCTGACATTTTGATTTGGATATAGAGCGTCGGTGGCTCAGGAGTCAAGCACTTGACTTGCAATCTGCAGGTCCTGGGTTCGAATACCGCCATGTACCAATGTGTTTTTCCATTTTCGATTTACATATGTACATTTATCCGACGTTCTTACGGTGAAGGAAAACATCGTGATGCAACCTGCACATATCTGAGAAGAAATTCAAAGATATGTGTGAAGTCAACCAACCTTCACTTGGCCAGTGTGATTGACTACGGCCTAGTCACCCTTAACTTAGGGTAGACTCCGAGCCCCTCGGTGGGGACGTATAGTGAGCTGATGAGATTTTAATTTAAATTTCTTAAGACCACTTCTCCGTCTACTAGCTTGCGACTGTCACGTGTAGTGGAAAAGTAGTTTAAGTTTAGATATTGTTACATACAGGTGCCGCTGGTACCCTGGCTGCCGGGCATCAGTATCCTCATCAATGTCTACCTAATGCTGAACCTGGACTATGCCACCTGGATACGCTTTGCTGTCTGGATTACAGCTGGTGAGTTACCGTTTACACTGACGAAACATTGACACGAGACGAGACATGTTTGTAAACTTATAAAAATAGAATTAATTAAAAATAAATTCCAGCTTGATACCTTCACGCGTTTTTGAGAAAAAGGGTCTTGACAGACAGACGGACGGACGATAAAGTTATCCTATAAGGGTTCCGTTTTTTTCCTATGAGGTACGGAACTCTAAAAATTGTTGTAATTCAATAATTCATTATATATTAATCTCGGTCTTATCGCTGGTTTGAGATTAAAATCTCTATACATATCGTCATCCTTGTCATTCATTATCTTATATATATAAAAGAAAGTTGTGTTAGTTACACTATTTATAACTCGAGAACGGCTGTACCAATATGCCTGAAAATTGGTGAGGAGGTAGCTTAGAGTCAGGAAGACATTGGATACTATTTATTCATTTTTTTCGTATTTATGCCTTGAAGAGCTGGTTTTTATTTAACTTACTAATATTATAAATGCAAATGTTTAGATGGATGTGATGTGGATGGATGCGTGGGCTACACTAATTAAGTTTTTTTACTCAGAAATCCACGTTTAGTCATTAAAAATTGCTATTTAATGCTACTTTAATGATATACTTTTTGGAATTTTTACATTGTTTCACTGAAGTTAGAACAATTTTGTTAAATACAATTTCGATTACGATGCACAGAATTGTCGAACGAATCAATTATTTTCATTTAAACTGTCGAAAATGTATGGAAATAAATATTCTTCCATATGTAGACCTTCAACGAAATCGATATGGTTCATCTTTTTACGCGGAATTAATACGTATTTGATGACATTAGGCAATTTCCTTCTAAGAATAGCAACATCTTCAACTGTTGATAATTTATCATTAACACCATATAATAAAGATATTTTCATTGTAACTGCATTCAGATTATATTCTGGCGGCTCTGTTAAATTGTACATCTGTAGATTAACTTCAGTTCCATAATCGTAGTTAGCAAATTTTCTTCTTAAACTAACTTGAGCGTAATGTATCAAATCTTTCTCTGATACACCAACAGGGAAATGATTGAAAAATGTACGCACGAAACTCGGTTCAAATTCTTCAATATCGTCACCGGCTATAGGAAATATTATACCTAGTATACAAGTTTTGTATCCAATAATCGGTGTTGGACAGAAATTACGTAATATATTAACGATTAATGATTTATCTCCTAATACTTCTACTATGTTTAGGAATTTCGCAAGCCTGTCTATTGCTGGTGATGCATTGATTAACGTACTAAGTGGTGGTTGAACGTTTTGTAAGAAACAAATAGGTGCCAATGCTATTAATAAGTTAATTTTATTATTATATTCAGGTCTTGTTGATCCAAGGACGTAAAATATAGTATTACCTTGTGAGTGACCGATTGCATTTATCTTTTCATCTCCAGTTATATGTAAAATTGTGTCAATAATTGCTGATAAATCGTAATATCCAAATTCGTGGAAGGAGAAATCCCAGAATGCGTTATCAGTATTCGGATCTAGATATATATGTTTTCTACTATATTTATTTCCCCTGCAGTTTCCCGCCCAAACGTCGTATCCTTTTCCAGCTAAGGTTAAAGCTAATGAATTGTTTCCCCTGGTTATCCATGTATCCGATGAATCGCTTATACCATGCATCAATAATATTGGTGTTTTTATTCTCTTTTTATTTAATATGTGAAATAATTTCAATATGTATCCATCCTCTGTGATGACAATCAATTCTTCAACGGTGTAGCCATATTTATAACCGAGTTGTATAAAATTTAACGGACGATCTAACAAATCAAACGCGTAACAATTGAATAGGAAAAAACTTAATAAAATAAGCGATGTCTTAGTACACATAATGTTAAAATATAACTGAGCTATTGTTTGGAACACATTAAGTTGAAGCGACTTTTCGTTACGTTATTTAAATGTTTTAATTTAAGGTTAATTGTTTTTAATATTTATTAAACGCGATAAAATGCGAACGAATTTTAGGTCATATATACTTTTAATTCGATATTAGATAACTAATGTGCATAATAAGTGTGCCGGATATTAAAAAAAAAAACACATATATTTCCAAAAAGGTCCTTTAATTTAGAAATCAATATTTGAAAGATTCAATATAAATAAGAAATTTTATAATCTACTACTGTGGGTTACATCTAAGACTCTTTATTGCCTGACTAAAAAGAAAGTAATGTTTGTCCGTATGTATATTTGATAATTCAACTGTCATCGATAAAAAAAATAAATTTTAACAAGTCCCACGATTCTTCATTGGAGTATTTTTGTCATTTTTTTTTATAAATAATGTTTACCTTGCAGGTTTGATTATCTACGTAACATATGGAGCATGGCACAGTTCTGAACGTCGCAAGACATTGGATTCTGTGCAACTGGCAGACTTGCACAATGACAGCAGGACTGAGCTGCTGCAGAGGGGCGGCTTGCACGCGCTCGGCTGACACGAGGTGAGAGACGGCGAGTGCGCACAACATGGCGACTGTCGTAGTGCGTGCGATGACGTCATCAGTCCAAGCGAGACAATGCTCTCCTTCGTATCGAGCATTTGAAGTATGCAACTTCAAATTCAACTTTTCAAATTTGAATTCTAAATATGAAATATACAATTCGAATTTAAAAAGTTGAATTCTAAATTTGAATTTTGGAATTCATGTTTTTAAATTTGGATTTTTTTTTAATTTGATATTGTCATTGACTCATAGCGGATTCGATTTTTAAAAATTTGAATTTTAAAAAGTATAAAAGTTCGAATTTGAAGTTGGAAATGTAACGTGACTTTTAGACACGCATTTTTAGCTTTGTACTTAGACTTAAAGCAAAAATTGTTTGGTTCCTTTTTTTAATTGTACCAAAGTATTAATGCGCAAATGATTTCACTTGTTTACATATTCTCTATGAAAATAGAGCCGGCAATGTATCAAAACAAGTGTAAAACAGTGGAAACTCAGTCACTTTAGTTTTAAGTGATCGTACTTTTAGCTTTTTTTAAATATACCAAAAATACCAAAAGAATTAAAGCTAAGTTGAATCTAATCTTAGATTGTCTATCTTGCCTTACGACACCTAAATTAGTTTTCTTCGATCGGCCCAAGGGAATTTTGCACTGGGCCGTCTCGTCTTATAAGAAGGACGATTTCTCCAACCTTTAATTTTTTGTATAGCTAACAATCGTATGATATTTTCCACTTGCTAGAGATTTAGGTTATTAAGGAAATATTTTTGGAACCACATATATTAAGATTCCTATGGGTTTTAACTTAAATAATCATATGAAAATGTTATACGTTTTATTTTGCTTGAAAAAAAAACATTACGGATTCTTCGTCAGTTTTAAATCATGGTTAGATTTTGTATTTTCTTTCATATTCTTTGTCTCGTATTTTAAAGTATCACGTAGTATACTTAAGTTTAAGTTATTTTATAGTATGACAATAGTAGATCTGTTATATTATGAACTCGAATAAGAAGTCAGCATTTTTCAACTTATTTTTTTTTTCATTTTTTTTTTACATTTGTACTTAAGTGATTGCATGTAACAGTATTAGAAGGCTGTAAAACAGTTATTTTTCATCAAGTATTGTTAATCAATTCATTTAAAATAACTTATTATTAATTATTTGTAATTTTAATATGTTTAATATAATGTTTTGTGATGTGTTTGAACCATTCCTCTGATATTTAACGGAGAAATAAAGCTTTTGGCAATAAAATATTTTGTTTATTATATATAAGTTATAGTAATTTTAATACACTGACAAAAGTCAAAGACGCGGGCGACAGCTAGTATTTTTATATACTAGCTGTCGCCCGCGACTCCGTCCGCGCGGGATTATAAAATAGATGTTGTCCGATTCTCAGAGCTACTCAATATGCTCACAAAATTTCATGAGAATCGGTCAAGTCGTTTCGGAGGAGTATGGGAACGAAAATTGTGACACGACAATTTTATATATAAGATATGGACAGGCTAAGAGCCGTGGTATTTTGTGATTTGAACTTCGCCATTTTGGCGCTGTAGTTGCGGTTAAGCGGTGGAGATTGGAACTAATAATAGAGATAAATTTAACTGTAAAGAACTTCAATAGGCGCATTTAAATTAGTATACAAACACTGTAATTTCCAAACGAAACCATGGGTTTCTGAAATCAAAATCTTTGCATAAAATATATCTCTATCCCTGTCTTTCATCTTTGATAAAACAGAGATAAGAATATAAACTGATATAAAAACGGTGAACACTGACGTACATTCGTCCGGTGGCGTTACCGACTAGTTTCGAGCCATCGCCCTTCATCATTTTTATCGGAGATTTAGGACTCAGAAAGCCACCGTTAATCTGTTTCAACTGTTTTTAAAACATCAAAGATGTAAGGAAATAAATATTGTTTCATATTACGACCCCATACAAAGTCGATATGATTCATTTTAGTATGCGGGATTATCATATAATTTATAACGTTAGGTAGACTTTGTTTTAACATTGCTACATTATCTAATGTTGATATATTATCATTAATTCCAACAAATAAAGATATTTTCATAGTTATTTTATCTAATTGGTAAACTGAAGGTGTAGGGGAACCGTATTTGTCCAAATTAAGTTTGACTCCGTAATCAAAATTAGCAAATTGTCGTTTATAACTCACTTGCGAGAAATGATAAAGATTTTTCACTGATGTCGCCGTTGGGAAGTGTTCGTACAGTATTGGTATATCTTCCAATTCATCTGAATCCTCACCTGTGATTGGAAATATTGTATTCGTAACACATATAGAGTTAATTATAGGTTGTTGACAGATCGTATTTATTACATTTTGATTTGTACCGAAGATTTCTTTAATATCGAGCATGTTTGCTGTCAGATAAATCATTGGTGAATATTGAATCATAGTCTTAAGTGGTGGTTCCATGTTTTCTAGAAAACATACAGGTGCTAAAGCGATGAGTACATTAATTTTATTATTATATTCATGTCGTGTCGATCCGAGAACGTAGAATATAGTTGTTCCTTGAGAATGTCCGATTGCATTCAATTTGGATGCGTTTGTGATGAAGAGGATATTGTCTATTGTAGCTGGAAGGTCATAATATCCATGTTCATGGAAAGTGTAGTCCCAAAAAGTGTTATTATCAGGATCTAGGTATATATGTCGGCGGCCATACTTATTACCTCTACAATTACCTAACCAGACATCGTAATCTTTATTTGCCAATGTAATGGCGAGAGATTCATTCCCTCTCAATACCCATGTATCCGCGGAATCTAGAATACCGTGCATGAGCAGGACGGGCATTTCCCTTTCGCCTTTGATCCGAAAGAGACGGAGAATGTAACCGTCTTCAGTGATGACGTCATATTCTAAAGCTTGATGTCCATAGTTAGCTGCCAGTTCGGTGAAGTTCGGAGGATTATCGCCAAGTATATTTATATATTTTTCACTGTACACAATCACAATAATACTGAGAAGTACGATATGTTTCATTTTTAAATATTTTTTACTGATTAGTTTAAATTGTTTAGTATTTATATTTAAAAAAAAATGTTTATTATTTACAAATTGTCGTGTTAACCGTAATATTGTAAAGACCCTTTTACATGTAATAATAATAAAGGTGTAGAAAATTATTCACTTTCGTGAGACATTATACTAAACTGATATATAAACACGGATAAACACTCACGTGTAAAGGTGTAGGAGTTTAAAATATTCAATCAAGCCGTAGGTTTCCATTGTCACTTCTATGCAGAATGTATTGTTTTAAAAATTTTATCATACATGTGTTTTAATCAGCGTAAGTATAAGGTTCTTTATGATGCGTTAATCGGACGCGTGAACTAATTGTGTTAAAACATTTTCAAATTATCTTAGATTCATTAACTAATAGTTAATTTGAACTGGTTCACTTTAACTCTATTTTATGTTAATTGTTTTAAAGGTTTTCTTAACACAGCAAATTCCATAAATTAAGTAAGATTAAAAAAATATTTTACAATTTTAAGGCCGAAGGACAAGAAGTAGATGTAAAATAAAAAAAACTTAAATGTCATATTATCCTTTATTTAAATTTGAATCACAGGTTAAATCTTAAATAAATTAACCATAGCATGAAATATTTTTATATATTTTACAGTAAGTTTCCACTGCTGTAACTTAAAAAAGATGTATATCTACTGTTCCTTCAACTATAATGAAAGCAATGATAAGATGTTTTTGTTTGTACGGCAATGAAAACCTAATGTTATATAAAGATAAGTCACATAATGAAATAAATCCATGTCTTATATTATGTCTTAAGTACATTAACAATTTATTAAAATATGAAATCTTATTGAAAACATGAATAGAAGTTAAATGATGTCCAAATAAAAATTCGTTATTAGGGAATAAACTAATGGAGAAAAATCTATAAAATCCTAAATATAGGCAAATTCATTTTTTAAAATTAATTGGGAATCGAACCCACTATCACAATAACGCTACCGTATCACTGTTCACAAATTAACTTATTGAGCAATGTTATCATTTATCCTTAACTAGCTGTCGCCTGCGACCGTTATGCGAATTTTTCTCACCTTTTAAACCTTCCCTAGACCTACACGAACATTTCAAGACCAAGATAAGATAAATCCGTACAGCCGTTCTCGAGTTTAGCGAGACTAACGAACAGCAATTGATTTTTATATATATATAAGATTTAATATAAATTGTTTAAAAATTATCTACAACATGGCAAAGTCATAAATCTAATATAAACTTAATATATCTTATTAAACTCAAAGACACTAAGGAAGGACCTAGGATTTTCTTCAAGTAAATCTACACTAAGGGAAGCTTAGTAGACATTAAATGACTGAACGTGACAATAACTCCATTTATTAATATAATTTCAACCCATCTATTCTATAGTTATATTATAAAGAGGAGAAATTTGTATTTTTGTATGTAACGAATTAACTCAAAAACTACTGGACCGATTTTAAAAATTATTTTAAAGTTAAAAAGGTACTTTATCACTGAGTAATAAGCTATATTTATTACTAGATTAATTCAAAATCTAAAATCTAGTATAAAATAATTAAAAATTACTAAACCTAATAAATATCACACTTCATACATACCAAAAAGATACATTAATAAAATGCCAGTATGTCAAAAATCTTTTCTTACCCTTTGCTTAAACGTCAGTACAAAAACATAATTTTTTTTTAGAATTTTGTTACTACGTGTTTCTCTTCTACGCCGTTCTTCGTCAGCTTCGTAGACTCTATCCGTAACGAGCTATTTTTGATACCGTAGATAAAGTAGATTAGGTATCCTGGAAAATCAATTGATAAATAATATAATAACCAAGGTTTAAATAGAGCCAGCCAAAATAAAAAAAAGTTAAAAAATACCATCGATCCCAATAAACCTTAAGAAATATAAGAATATTAGAACAAACCATGCTTTTAGGAAATACAGTAACGATTAGAAAGTGTAACATAGAAATTGGATTGTTTTTTTGTCCATTATATTCGTTGATGGCAACCCTAAATAATCGTACAATGGCGTCCCTATTTTAAAGTCAAACTATTTCAGATTTTATGGTATCAATGAATGTTACAATATTCATTAGAAAGTGTAACATAGATATAAAATGTAACATACCGAGTGCGAGCCAGATGATGAACCGGACCCAGGTCTGGTAGTCGAGCTGCATCATCAGGTACAGGTTCATGCACACGCTGAGGTACGGCACCAGAGGTACTAGCGGCACCTGGATAGTATTTACCACATTAGTCTGTTTAAACTTGAGTAGATGTCGCTAGTGTAGTCTCCACTGACTTCTATAATTGGACAGGCTATAAGACATGGTATTTTGTGCTTAATTGATTTTTGCCACTTTAGCGCTGACCGTTACTGTTATCATTGTATTGCGGTGGTGAGAGTATGGACTAATAGTAAAGATAGAATTAAAAGACGCGTTTAAGTCGGAACAAAGAAAATCTGTCATGTCTAAGCAATGAACTATGCATTTATAATCTGCGACACAAGTGACAGTTGAGTTTAAGATGTTGTTGTGTTAGTGTTAGTACTGACGGTGAAGGTGAGATGTGTGACGTCATTCCTGGGCTGGCGGTACAGCACGACCAGCAGCGCGAGCAGCACGCCCGCGCCCGCAGCGAACAGCGCCACCTGCAGCTCCGCGCTCGGCACCTCCCACCGCATCACCGCGCACGTGCCCAGCGCCGCCACGCCTAACAATTTAAAAAACATAATTAGTAGCCTATGTGTTATACCAGACTATGTTCGACATTTCTGCCAAATTTCGTCATGATCCATGCAGCTGTTTTGGAGATACAAATCTATCTATCTATCCATACATACATTCTAATTTATAATATTAGTAAGTTTGTAAAAGTATAGAAACTTAAAAGACAACTAGATAGTAACGATTAATATAAAAAGTGACTTATCGTTGGTTTCTGAGGCCTGCCATTATCTTTGACAAAACAGAGATAACAATATATTTTAACAGATTCTGGTTCAAAAACCAACACTTACTAATATATGAAAACAAAGTCAAAGCCAATGGGCACTGTTGCGCCATCAAATCCTCACAGTCTGATAAAAATTACGAAATCAAGATTCAAGTATCAATAGCAGTCGTACCTAGTATACCAATGCTCCACTTAGCGATGTTAGCTGACAGTTCAGTGGGATGCTTCAAACCCAGCAGGTTGAAGATCTGCCGCACCACCGTGTACGGGGTCTCGGGTAACGGTTTGCCATTTTTAAGCTGCAACTCTCCGTGCTCATCGTATCTGCAAATTGTAATATTAATAATTCTTCGTTAGATTCAAACTCTTTACAAGTTTTAAATCATTGTTTATGATTTTTGGTGTTTATTGGATAAAATCAAAAACTGCTACAGAGCTAAAAGTTTCGTCTAGTATTTACTCCATTGGACACATCAGTTTATTTTGGTCTCTAACGTGTTTAAATTTTAAACCCCTGAAACGATTAATAGCAAAACTACCTCGTATAATTTAATTAGTTATAATTTCTATTAAAAATAATTTTAATATACCTAAGAATGAGTACGCTGGTCGCCACAATGGTGTAAGCGAGCAATGTACCAATTGACATCATGTCTATCAGCTGGTTGAGGTTGAAGATTGCCGCCATTATTGCTGAAACAGATTATAGTTGCTGATAATTCAACATATTTTAAATTATAAGGTTGCAAACGGCCACCTGAATTCGCCGAAATGGTAAAGCAACCGTTGACCATAGACATCCGTAATTGCAGATGACGGTGGAGGAGACGCACATAAAGAGAAAAATTCCCTCTCCTATGCGTTCCCTCTTCCATCAAATCACTTCCCCTTCTTACCCTTCCATTATAAGAAAAGGATGGGATAGAGGACTAAAACCACACCACACCATAGACGCTCTTGACAAAGTAACACTTACCAGATAACAATCCGCTGAGTATCGTAGCGAGCATTGGGGTCTTAGTCTTGGCATTGATGGCGGCGAGAGGTCTGAAGAGCACGCCGTCACTCGCCATCGCGTAGAGGACACGCGGCAGAGGGAACATGGCGCCCAGCAGACTGGTGCAGAGCGCGCACACAGCGCCCCCAGTCACCAGCCACCGCACCACTGGCATGCCTACTTGCGTGAACACGTACGGGAATGGCGCATCTGCGTCCTGAAAATACAAATAATTCGTTAATGTAAGAGTTTATCTTCTTATTTATTAAATAATAACACGTCTCTGAATACCAGTAAGAGTAGATTCTGAATGTAAAAAGAAAAATGTTTAGAAATGTGTCATATCTTTTTGTCTACTTAAACAGTGCAGTAAATTTAACACGTTCATTACTATTAAAAATGGAAAATCTAGAATAAAACAATCTTGCTGCTAAAAAGAGATTTAGATATCCTTACCTGAAGGTAATACGGCCACATCATAGTGAGAACAGTTGCAATACTAAAGTATGACGCAAATATGATGACAAGAGACAACACGATAGAAAGAGGGATGTCTCGCTTGGGGTTCTTGGCCTCCTCGCCCGTGGTAGCCACGCAGTCAAAGCCGACAAAACCGAAGAAACACTTAGCAGCGCCGGCCATCACCCCAGCGACCCCCCACGGCATGAAGCCTCCCGCGCCGGCTGAAGCGCGTTGGTCTTCCGGTATATCTTCAACGTTGATTCTCCAGTTTGCCGGGTCACCTGAAATAGGTTTTTAACACATTCAAAATAGAGTCTCATTTATTATTTATAATTTGTGAAGGCCTCAGTGTCGATGTTAAATATGACGTGGAAGCCTTCAAGAACAACACAACCATGTTCACTCTCACATCGTATCACGATTAAATATTTACCTTAAAATCAATATTACCAAAGTAATGAATTGCAAATAGTATACGGGAGATACTTACTTTTCATCGCCCCAGCAATAACGACGACAACAACAGTGGTCATGTTGAGAGCTGTGAAGACATTGTTTATTTTTGTAGACTCACTCACTCCAACCGCGAGAAGAACTGAAATGGAAACAAAAATTTTAATTAGCAAAACACCTCATTATATAAAAGAAGCTCAAACAAGAGTTAGGTTGAAAACAGATTGAACTTTGGAGTTTTATGTTTTCTTATCTAAAGAATATTAATCGTCTTTTAAAGTTTCTAGTTCCTTCTTCAAGTGTGATTACTTGGCATCATGAGATCCTATAACTAGCTGCTCGCATCCGCGAGGAAAAAAAAACATAATTAGCAGTCTTTGTACTTTTCCAGACTATGTTTTACATGTAAACAAAATTTTGGCTTGACCCAGAAATTCTGGAGATACGTTCTAACATCCAAACATTAGCAAATATAATATTAGTAAGAAGTAAGATAAGATAAATAATACTTACTAGTAATCATAAGCACCAAAGCGAACGCAAAGAAATCTGGATAATCAGCAAGAAATGAAACATTAATCGGAGCGATGGAAGTCATTGTATTTGCCAGGGTATTGTTGCACAGACTATCTACATAGTTGGCCATGCCTTTGGCCACACTGGCTGTGCCGATAACGTATTCCAAGATGAGGTTCCACCCGATGGTAAAAGCAACGAATTCACCAACACTGACATAACTGTAGACGTAAGCGGAACCAGCTTTGGGAACTCTTGCAGCGAACTCTGCGTAGCATAGACCTGCAAATATTTAAGATGTTAATTTCATGTTGCCTAGTTTAACGTAGATAATAAATTTTGGATTTAATAAAGATTTGCGACGGCTCGGGAAACGTTTCATCGATACCTGAAAGCCACGACCAGTTTGAAAAGACTGCAGCAAAGAACAAGAAGGTTAGAGGATCAAAGTAAGATAAGTAAGTTTGAAAAAGATAATTACTCCTTTGCCTTCTTAACACGTTAGCTGCCAAGTCGGACTATATGTCCGACAAGCTAATGTTTCAATCAGGCCGTGTCGGAATATGTGTCCGATAAGCCATACTTCCATTCAACACCTCGCTGTGGCTTTTTAATTGAATTGTTGTATACAGCATGACCAGCAAGGCCCCATTCAAATAGTTTTGGACAAAATTAAATAAAAAAAAAATCGTTTTTCGAAAAATCATTCTGGCAGCTAACGTGTTAATACAATGAATAGACAATTTATTTGATAATAGTCTATTAAAGAACTTAAGTAGACTGATATAACATATATATCTTTGTATTTCTTATGATATAAAATGTCTTACTACACTAAGGGCGTTGTAAAACTCACCAGCAAACGCAGATGCTATCGCTGCGACTAAAAAGCTAAGTGTCACAGCTGGTCCTGCGACGGTCTTGGCCACCGCTCCAGCCAGCACGTACACACCTAACCCCAAGGTACTGCCCACGCCCAGTGCTGTCAGGTCGATAAGACCGAGACATCTTGATAGTTGAGTTGTACTGTCGTCTTCTAGTTGCTTACAACGGCGAAGTGCCGCGAATATCCTCGCGCAACCCATCTGAAAGTTAGACGGCTGTTAGAGTGTTAACATTTAATCTTGTTCTCTTGCTCTTTGTCTTTTTCTATTTTGTGGGTCGTTTTCTCAGACTTGAACGTAGCATTTTGTTCATAATTGTATTTCCTACGTCTCTATAATTGAGTTAGTAAAGGAGTTCTAGGTTTCGGAAGTTTTTGCATACGTTTATATCATTTAGAGGGTTAATTAAAGGAATGAAAATACAATATATTTCGTTTCAAAGTTTATATTATGATCTATTTTTTTAAATATTTTACATTATATCTTATAAAATTGATAAGAAAATACATCTTACATGGCTAAATATTTAGTAGCCATTTTCTTGCCAATGTGTTAGATTGGCAATTTCTTGTGGAAATTTATACGCGATAAGATTTTTACGGTTATGTGTTGCAACGTCAAATATACTTATACAAAAAATGGCAATAATTTAATAGGTTTTTAGATGGCGGTTGGGGCCAAAGAACTCATTTTTCACCATCACCGAGCGACTTTAGCTGCGCGCGACTTTCTTTTTATCACGGCGCAGCCAGTAGCTTTAGTCGAAAAACGTTGAAAAAAAAAACTGTCATGCGTTGTTAGGTTGGTATAAAGCGTCATAACTCTGACCTTAATACACTACCTAAGACTTAGAATAAAGAGCATTGGCTCATAACAAGTATCAAATTTGATAAATCGCAGTATTCTTTCTCAACTTGGCAAAAATTATCTCGACTCAGGTCATTGCTTAAGGCTTTACGCTCATTAAAACTAATCATTTTACAATATTTATGCGGAAAAATGTTGCTCAAATCTCTTTATAATTCGGATTATATTTTGGATAACATTAATATGATTTTAATAAACCCAGCTTAACTCAGATATGACAAACTCCTAATAAAACATAAGAATTACACGTTAACCTTTGGTTTCTGAGACAAGAATCTCTGTTTAAAACATATCTATATCCCTCTCATTATCTTTGACAAAACAGAGTTAATAATAAACGGGGATTTGGTCTCGGAAACCCAAGATCAAAATGAATAAGTATGCTTTTTTTGGGAAAATTTTTGTGTTGGAATAATATCCTAAAGTTTAAGAGAAAGTACAGTTTGATGAAAAATTAACTCTACATTTTTTTAGTGGGATTTTGTTTCTTTATTAATTAATGCCTATAATAATGAATCCATTAAATATTAAAAGTCAACGCAAGAAAACAATGATCATTCTATTCTATAATAAGATCGTTACTGTTATCAAGATTTGTTGTCACGGCCTCGCAATCGGTAATGATCTTGGCATATCGATATGTTATCGATATATCGTAAATGCCGCCTATTTGTAATATGTCTAGAAAAATTATAAAGACGACAAATTACATATCAAACGAATTCATAAAGTGAGATGTTTTATTACTGCATTTCGTTAATATTTGTCATTCATGATATTTAATTGCGAAGCGAATAAAATTTTATTTACTTAAGAAGCGTCGGTGGCTCAGGAGTCGAGCATTTGACTTGCAATCTGCAGGTCCTGGGTTCGAATCCCGTCTTGTACCAATATGTTTTTCGATATTCGATTTACATATGTACATTTATCCGACGTTCTTACGGTGAAGGAAAATATCGTGATCTAACCTGCACATATCTGAGAAGAAATTCAAAAATATGTGTGAAGTCAACCAACCCGCACTTGGCCAGCGTGGTTGACTATGGCCTAGTCACCCTTAACTTAGGGTAGGCTCCGAGCCCCTCGGTGGGGACTTATAGTGAGCTAATAATGATGATGATGATAATTAATTGCCGATTGGTTTTGACTCTACAATTTATCTAGGCAAATTATAAATTGACAGTATTCACGATTTGTCAGTGTTAATGAAAATACAACCGGAGTGTAAGACAACTTACTTCCTGCAACACTATAATGGTTAAAACAAGTTCAATATGTATTCGACTGCTTTGTTTGATAAAAGACTAGATATTTAGAATATTTTAATGAAATGTTCACACATATTATATTAGAGACAATATTTATAAAGATACTAGCTGTCGTCCTCGACTCCGTCCACGCGGAATTAAAAAGAAATTTTATAAGTAGTCTATGTGTTCTTCCAGACTATGTTTTACATCTATGTCAATTTTCAGTAAGATCCATGTAACCGTTCCGGAGATTATTAAAAGAAATATTCATCCATCTATCTAAACATTAGCATTTATAATATTAAACTGATATATATAAACACGGCTAAACACTCACGTATATACGTCCGGTGGCGGCACCGACTAGTTTCGAGCTCATCGGGGGCCCTTCGACAGGATGAGTGGTACTGGTATTATTTCGCGGACGCGGCCCGTCGCTCACTGGGGCCCCGATGGGTTCGAAACTAGTCGGTGCCGCCACCGGACGAATATACGTGAGTGTTTAGCCGTTTTTATATATCAGTTTAGTATAATGTCTCATGAAAGTTTGAATAATTTATAATATTAGTAAGAAATTAGATGATGAAATTAATTTAATCAATCAAAATCAATCAATACAAAAATACTTGAGACTTAATAAACGAGAAAACATTTTTCAAACTTATAAAAACTCGTATCAACAATTAAAGGAACTTATTCTATAAAGCAATCGATACACTTACCGTAAAATCAGGAAGACAATATAAAAAAAACAACAACAAAAAAATAAGAAGTAATTAATCAATTAAAAAACACAAAATCACTGCGTGACTGTGTACCAAACAGTGACAACGTTAATTTCAAAGTGTCTCGTCACTACGCCCCTGTTTGCTTGTCTCTCTAATCTTTACAACCTGCATAATTCCTCTATACAGGCTGATTGTCGCACTCACGTAAAGGTGGGGTCACACTGTTCATAACTATATAACCAGAGTAACATTTTTCTATAATAACAAGTTCTTTACCTTAACAAAAGATCACACGCGTTTGGTGTCTAAGCTGTCTAACGCTATCTCTTTCTAATGAGGAAAGGGAAGTGACTGACAGGGGAGGAGATGTGTAGGATATTACGTCATCTATTTTCTTTCAAAAGATCACAAGACCACAAGCGTTAGCAGTCTAAGCTCTCTAACGCTACCTATCTCTTTCTAATGAGGAAAGGGAAATGACTTTGGCAGGGGAGGAGATGTATATGACATTACGTCATCTCCTTTCTATCTATGTATTGAACATAACGCATTTGCAAACTTCAAAGTTATTGCAGATGCCTTGTTTGCCAACTTGTAGTATAAAAAGTGTGATTATATCTTTTTTATGTAAAAACTTAAATTCTGCTTCAAAAATAAATACATTTTATGAATGAATTAGGATGTGGAATTATCTCTTCTCTAAGGTTTAACTTATTAACTGTGAGAATAATCTTTGCTTTACTTTTTTAAATTAAACAACGAATAGTCATATTAAACGTTATCTTATGACATTCGTTTGAAAGAAAACAATAGGAAAATGTTTACCATTGTTCGTGAGAAACGTGATTTGCTACTGAGTACTTGTGTTTTCTCAAATTGTAATTTACATTCGTCTACCCGTCTTACTTGAGACAAACCGATTTGACATGGAGAATGGAAAACCCTTTGATCTTCCTTTTTTTATAAGAGAAGGGGCCAAACGGGCGGCGGGACCACCGTGGTGATCAACGACACCCATGGACATCTGCAACACCAGAGGAACTGCAGATGCGTTCCTAATGTTAGGAAAAAAATCCGACACTGTGCCGGTGTACTGACACAACACTAGCCTTACTAGAATGTCGACGTTTATGTCCCCTCAGTAATGATTCTGACACTTGACTTTGTACCGAAAGCACGTCATTCGCGCCAAATGATTCTAACTAATAAGGTCTAAAACTAATAATATAAATGCGAATGTTTAGATGGATGTTTGTTTGAAGGTATCCCCAGAACGGTCTGGAACAACATTTACGTATCTAAGTTTTTTCCTAATTTGCGCAGACAGGGTCGCGGGCGACAGCTAGTCATATATTATATGGCTAGACAGCTTATATCAAACGAAATAACCCTTAGTAGTCCCTATTTAGAGTCTAAACTGTTAGATATTCAAACTTCGTGCATACAGTGTGTTCCAAACCTAATTATTACTAGATATAATTTTAGATGTTGCTTAGAAATAAAAGTGAATACAATAAGACAGTGATTCTGATTGGTACAATTAACATGTCATTGTTTGATAGGATTTATCCAGTAAGCTGTTTGTTTGCGAGATGATATCAGATGTGGAAAAAAGTGCATCTCTTGTCACTATGTATGATAAAGACGTACTTCCATTGTCTTGTTACAGTTGCTAGTCTACCTTAATATATGTTGTTAATAAAAGAGTTTGACAAGAAAAATATATTTAATTTTTTTTAAATTTTAAATTCGATATCAGTATGTTTTTTTTTAATAAAAATGCAGATAAAATATATTGTTATTAGATCGCCAGAACAAAAGAAGTGATTCATTTTTGAGTTCATTTATTTAAACCCGCAATTCCTCAGACAATCCTCAACATATTATTTTACCATCTGTTACAATCCTAATGTCTTTAGAATACATATGAAATACAAGCTGTCGCCAGCGACTTCGTCCGCGTGGTAATAAAAAATTTAGTAATTAGCTTATGTGTTACACTCTATGTTATACATTTATGACAAATTTCAGGAAGATCGAAAGAACATCTATCCATCCATTTTTGATTTATAAAATTGGTAAGATTGCTTGCGAAAAAAAGGGATAGCAATACATTTACAGTTCTTTTAAACGACAAACCAAGGTCACGAAGTTTCTTGCTGGGTTTAACGTACTTGTTATTTTCATTTGTTTTGATAACGGATCATTAGATGTGCTTTGAATATTAAAAATACGTTTTATATAAGCGTAGGTATTGACCTTCATAGAAGACAATATGGAATATTAATCAAGTTACGTTTAAACCTTCATTTCGATTGGGTAATTTCCCTTTCCGTGCCCTTCGTACCTAACTGGC